AGAAGCCTTTCGTCCACTTAATAAGGGTCCCAGAATTAATTGATGATTGCAGCACAGGGAATGAGAAGGTAAAACCTAGTTCTCTCTGCCTGCCAGGAGGGAGTTGGTAATCTTGACCTTCTTTAGCAACAAATTTTGCAAGTTCTGCTGCAATGTAGTCAAACAGTGCCTGAAATCACAATTATCCTTTAGACTTGAGAGATGTTCGCATAAAGCACCTTGATTTACAATGGCATTTTTAGTGACAAACTACTTACATATGAAGTTCCAACCATAAGATTTTCAGGAATTGAGACCTCTGTAAATTCTTGACTAATAATTCCACGACCCTTCCCCCCCAATTGCACCCTCATCACACGGAAGTTTGTTCCTCCAAGATCCAATGCATAAAACAACCCTTTTTCAGTCCTGAAACACAAAAAAAATAAAAAATAAAAAATAAAAAATAAATGTATATATGAGGAGGTATTCAGTTTAAACCTCTTTCAACAGCTTGTTTAACAACAATAATAGGACAGAGTAGCGACAAAATCATACATTTAGGAAAAATTTCAACATCTGACAGCAGAAATTTCAATATAAGTCATATTTTTGTTTATGACACGACTGTTTGTGTAGACACGACTGTTTCAAGGACTATGAAACATACACAAGGTACAACTCACTCCTCAAAATTCTATAAGAAGATTGATCAAGAAGAGATAAACATGCCACACAAAAAAAAAAAAAAAGAATAAATCCATACAATTTGGAAAATTCTGATTGGCCCTATGAATATGATGACAATTGTATGAGAATTCAACCAAAAGTTTCAGTCCATCTATAAATAAACAAAACTTTAAAGCTTACCCAAAATATGGCAGATTCACAACAACAAAATAAACTATAATAATTGGATCAAGAAATGGACTTTGAATCACCCACATCCATATAAACAACAACAGAAACACCCTCGTCAATTATACCCAAAAGAGATCAACTGGAACAAATAAAAGAGACACCTTATAGATGAAGACCCAGAACAAGTCGATCCAAAATATATACATATTCACGTTATGAGAGCAAAAGGGTTGATTGATTGAATATATACGTACCCAGTAGGGAGATTGTCGACATAGCTAATGATCATCTTGAGCTTGCTGCCACCTTCAGAGGCAAGGCCGGCGTGCATCTCCACAGCCATGGCGTCAGCCACCTGCCTCAGCTTCCCAATGGGGGTCCCGCACTTCTCCTCTAGCTCTTTGATGATGGCGGTTGCCCGGGCCCACCGGCCTGAGCTCCGCATGCGGTGGCGCACCACCAGAGCTGCGGCTGCGGCGCACACGGCCGCCGCGGTAATAATCACCACCGCCTTCTTCCCCATTGTGTATGTAGATTTGATTGATTGGGTTTGGGGTTGTTTGTGGAGATTGCGGAAAATGGAATGAGAATGAAATTTTGTGTGTTTCTTCTGGTTTTTGGGAGTGATGGGAATTGGAGGATAGTTTTAACGGTTTAGGGTGACTTTTTATATGAGCAGGGCCACAATTGGAATTTCAGTGATAATTACCCCCCAAAGAAAACAAATAATTGGATTGGAGCTCTATTTGTTTCCAATGAGAATTACAATTTTATCCTACAGCGAAAAAAATTTAAGGATTAGGTGTCTCTTCCTCTTTTTGGTCAAGATTATGGATTTGTTTCTTTTTTGATCAAATTAAGGATTATTTTTATAGATTATTATAAATAAACCTAATCCTAGACATGTATTTATAAAAAAACCCACACACTATTTAAACATAGAAACACACCCAAAATCAACAATTGTATATTTTTTGAGTGTGTTTATAAATGGGTTTTAAGTGTGTGTAATGATGAGTTTTGGGTGTATTTATAAAGTGTTTTGGGTGTTGGGTTTTTTTATAATTTCAGCCCCCATTTTGGGTGTTTTAGTGAAACTCCCTTATTTTTACATGAATAAAACATCTCCCTATCGTTTGACTAAAAAGAAAAAATATATATTTAGATGGAAAGGTTTCTAATGAAGGATTTGGATTTGAATTTTCAATGTAAATGTCTTTGACAAGGGGATTAAACATTTAATAAGATCAGTTGAGTTTCCAACTTCTTGCATTAGTGTGGAATGGATGGCTTCATTTGACCACAAAACTATTAATCTTCTTATCTTATCTTAATAGAATCCACGTAGGAATGATGAGATTATTTCTAGGATCACGAGTGATGTAGTGAAAAAAATTTATTATTGTTTACTTTGTAAGTAATTTTTTATTATTATAAAGGAATATGATGTGTTGACGAATTTGTGGGGTATAAATAGAGTTAACCCTAAACTTATCCGCATTTTCTTGACTTTTCTAAATACTTTCTGGTCGATGTCATACACTCTTATTTTGATTGGGAAGAGAATCAGACTTATAATGGAAATATTTTTACTCATTATTTTAACTCTAGGTGTGTGTTCACCACCCTTTTTAATACTTAATATGTATCAATAGGTATAATTATAGTTAACTTTTTACTTTGATTTATGTAATCGTGGTTATACTCATAAACATATGTCAAGTGTTGAGAGGAGTGGTGAGTATATACTGTTTGTGTGACTTGTGAACCATTGACTTTCTTTCCTTAAACAAGGATTCTCATTATAATTGTATTTGATTTACTTTAATTCATGATTTCCTACTGTAAATAGAAATATGAATTTATTATTTACTTGGCCACTAAGGCTCCATTGTATTATAATTATGACCTCCTACAAGGAGAGAATATACAGAAAATTCTCACAAACAAATATTCTCATATTATGTTTCATATTTTAGCATGGTATCAGAACATCGATTTTGGAATTGCTGACCTTAGTTTCAAACCCCCGCTGCCGTTATGGGGGTTGATGATTTTTTCAACCCTCATGGAGGTAGCATCACCGACTCTTTCTCTCATTCTTAACCAATCATAGCCGAGTTGAGTGCCCAGGTGGCTTAGCTCCTATAGATGCAAACTTTGACCCAGAATCCGATCCTGAATCAGGATCCTATTTTGATGACCCTGAATCCGATCTTGAATCAGGATCCTATTTTGACGACCTCGACCCCAACTACGACGACAACCCTGACCCCAACTACAATGAATACCTCGACCCTGAATTTGTCTCTAATTCATACCCAGATCCCAACTTTGAATCCGACTTTGACTGCAACTCAAGCTAAGATCCGATTTGGATTCCTACTAAACCTGTATCCTATGCATCTTCCACTGCACATATTATGACTTCCTGACTAACGACCTCGACACATGGACGAGATTGCGCATACTGTGGTGATCTGAGACACACTCCTGAGACTTATTGTAAATTACATGGCTACCCCGAATGGTGAGATACTCTCAAAGATCGAACACAACGCGATACGACCAGTAATGTTATTGGTTATGGATTCCAAACTTCATATAAGAGTGATTCCACGAGCTGAATAATTGATTCCGATGCAACTGATCATATGACGTTTGATCCCGATGATTTTCTGAATACTATCCATTATCCAATCCCGACATACTTGTATTGCTAACACCAATGAAGTTAACTGTTGCATCCTATGACATGGGTTGTAACTGTTGCACTCTCATCCTCTCTCTCACTCTCTAACACTTTACTCGTTCCATCTTTATCCAATAAATTGATGTCTGTTAGTCAACTTACTGAACAATTGAATTGTTGTGTACTCATTTACCCTAATTTTTGTTTGCTTCAGGACATTCACACTAAGGAGATTCTTAGTCATGGTACTAAGAGAGGGGGGCTATATTATGTAGATGACTTCAGTCCCGACATGGCTAATAGTGTGATGCATCCCTGTGATAGCAAACAAAAGCAAATTCGGTTGTGGCACCGTCAATTGGGACATCCATCTTTTAGTTATCTGAAGCATCTTGTACCAGATTTATTCTCAGGTTTCAAGGACTCCAACTTCAAATGTGATACTTGTATTTTGGCCAAGAGTCACCGTGTACCATATCCGTTGAGTACGAATGAGTGTACTACTCCGTTTACATTAATTCATTCTGATATTTGGGGATCTTCACCTATCACTGCTCCTTCTGGCATTTGGTGGTTTGTCACATTCGTAGATGATTGTACACAAATAACAGGGCTTTATTTGCTGAAGAATAAAAATGAAGTGTTTTCCCGTTTTCAATTCTTCCACAAATATATGACAACTCAATTCAATACTCAAATACAAATTCTTCGCTCAAACAATCGTGGAGAATTTGTCAATCATAACTTTTAGGTTTACTTTCAACAACATGGAATTATCTATGAGACGACGTGTCCTCAAACACCACAACAAAATGGTGTCGCTAAACGAAAGAATCGACATCTTGAAACAGTGACCAATTTGGCTAAATTTTTTTCTTAGCGACCAAATTAAATTTTCATGTAAAACTCAATGACCAAACGGGTATTTAGCCCTTTTATTTTTTTTTGGCACAGAGCTGATAACGCAAATTCATTTTGCTGCATGTTGAGTTAGTTATACTATAAATAACTTTTTTCAGGCAACCGCTCGAACCAATTCAATTGAGTTCAATTGCAAACATTAATTCAATTCAATTGCACGTTTTCAAAGGGAAGGAAATAATGTAAATTAACCAAAACCTTGGTTTGGAATTTGTTGGGAGATAAATGAGCAAACCCGCCTACTCCATTTCTAATTGGGAATTTTTCTCCTCTTTGGCCAGAGACCCGCATAAAGTAAAACCCTACCTATCACAAGCCAACCTTGACTTTAATGCTCATTAGATCTAAATCCAACGGTTAACTGTAATAGATTTAACTGAGATGTGTGAAGTGAACAGGTGGATCAAGAGTCCAATAATTTCACATTGAGCTGATTCAAAGGGGCACAACTGCCCCGATTTAAATATGCATAAACACAATCATAACCAGAATTGCGCAATGAATTAAAACTTATTGAGAGAGAGAGAGAGAGAGAGAGAAACAGAGGGAAGTTGAATATTCATTACATTGCATATAATGTACAAAGGTCGAATGAAGATAGACACACCCTCAACAGTGGTCCCACTCAAACTCAAACAAGATCCGACAACCATTGTACGTTGAGCACATTACAGAGCCAGCAACACATTTCCCCCCACCACCCTTACAAAGAGAAGACACTATTTAACTTTTTCACCTTTTTCAATTTTTTTGGTTTTTTTTTCCTGGACCTGGAGAACCTAGGACACTTTGCCACAACCGCCAGATGACGAAAAGTAAAAACCTACTACTATATGCACAAGTTAGCGAGCATCTGAATAAATCCTCTTAAGACTCTTAAGAGCATCCAAAGCTCAAAACTTACGCAGATCAGTATAATTCACAAGTTCTAAAATAAGAAAATTGTACAAAAAACCATGGACTTCAGTTCGAATCTCTTGGCTTCATCCGCAAGGGTGCATGGATCAAGCCTGAAAAAGAATCAAATGAAAGCCAGCGATAATAAGAACACTTACCCGAGCTGCTGGCTTTCTTCCTCTCTCATTTTGAGTAATAACTTCACAGCCAAATATACAAAGATCCAGCTTGCTCAGGCCGTTGATGTTAGACTCAACCTGCTATTCAAACAACCACAGCAAAAGGAGCAGCATAAAGATAAACAATACATCAAAAATAACCAAGAAAATTCTCTATTTAGAAATTCACTACACATGCCTTATCACCGCTTTTTGTTCAGAGTTTACTCCCTCGTTGGAATTGAGTAGCATCCCAAATGCAGCATTCGGCTTCAGAGTAAAAAGTGAAAAACAAAGAAAAGAAAAGAAAAAACAAAGAAATTAGGTAGATTGGTCAGTGCAAAGAAAACCTCCAAGATAAGGCAAGTTAAAGAAAATGGAAAACAAGTTAATTATAGGTTTGTATTCCCAAATGTCCAATGTTTTAACACGTGCAACACAAGTGAGGACCCAACACATATCCTGTCAGGACTTGCATTATTGTTCGAAGATACCTCAGATGTTGCTACTTTTATGCCATTGGTGCATTTGGTCATAGAATCTCTGAGTTAGATGAAGAAATTAAGACAACATCCAACTAGCAGAGTAAACGTTGCAAAAGAAGACGACCATATGATGAAAATGAATCACCAGAAAATTCAGTCAAAGTAAAGGAACTTAAATCCAAAACCTCTAATGCTTCTTGAGATCCATCTTGCCGCAGGTTTCCATTTCCACATCCATTATCTGAAAGAGATTCCGAGTCTGCCTCGCATACATCGCCCTGCAAATATCCTGGGTTGTTACTCCCAACACTGCTTCCCTCAACACTCCTAGTATTCCCCTCACTGCTAACAGCCACTGATCCAAATCCCGCATCATCACAACTGCCCTTGCTTGTAACATTTGTAATAGTACTGGAATTTGAGGCATATTCAGGCTCCGTTTCTCCCGACAGTGTTCTTTTATTTGACTCAACCACTTCCATGCTAAAACCTTTATCCGACTGCTCCGGAGATGCACTGCTTGCCTTGTCAGAAATAATTACAGGAGAAACTGAATCACGGGGTTGTGGGCTAAGAGATTGCCGTTTCTCTAGTGGCATAACTTGATTCACATCCACCCCATCGAGATCCTTCTTCCTCTTCAGGTGTCTCTCACCAGATCCTGTCACACTAACTTCACCGTCATCATAAGGCAATTTATCAGCCTGCTGCTGGGCCATAATTCTAGAGGGTCGAGGTCGTTTACAACCATCAGGAAACACATATGGAGGAAGTTGCCTTCTACGAACATGAGAAACATAAATTTCCATCCCCGGTTTCCAAAACAGATACATATTAATGGAATGCCTGAACTCATCAACAGTCCCTCGTATATCGAACTGTTGACCCTGAGTCTTCTCTCCTTGTTTCCTCTGCAAACCCATAAAAAACGCACCATGGGCACATTGTTTGTTCATATCAACATACTCATGGGGATAAGGATGGCATTGTAACATCCCTAAAGTATCCCGTTCAATCTGCAAATATAAACAGAGGAACCAATATGTTACAGATTTCTAATTCTGAAAGAGAACAAAAAAAGATATAGACACTACCATTAGAGTCAGTTGCCTAAGCCGAGATTCGACCCAGCCTTTCCAAGCACGCAAGTCATCAACATCAGCTGCAACTATGTCAACCTGGAGATAGTTCTTGTAGCTTTCAAAGAACAAATATGGCTCAAACAGACCACACCACCGAGCTTTATTCAGTTCGACTTCCTGGATTTAAAAATTGAAACGGAAAGTGTGACCAACAAATGTGACCAACAAGCTAAAGCATCTCTTCTGACAGAACAAGTACATACCTCACAGATTTTGTTTCCGTATCGAAACTGCTCCACCATAACACGCAGGGTACTTTGCGACACATTGTAGCTGGAGTTCATACAAGGGTAGGCAGGGGTTATAATTGGCATGTGATGAGTCCGGTCACGAGGATTTTTACGTGGGTCCCAGACAGAAAAACCAAGTTCATCCTCCTCAATAGCACATAACATGACAGGATTTGGCCAACGCCACTGTGTATATACTCTAAAAAATCTAGAAACCAGCATGCTGGGAACTGCATTGGGATAAAGCTGGCACACCCGGGCAACAAGAAGAGCCCAGTTCACTCCCCCAAGAAATCCAGTAACCTGAATATAAATATTGTATAACAATCAACTTAAATGTAAAATAAGTCAACATAATATCTCGAGTGAGGTACTCACATTGGAATAAACACCACGCCTCTTCGCCCAAAACTTCAAACATCTGAGTGTTGTACAGAAATGCTACAACAAATGAAAGTACCATAAGGGAGGTTCAACATACAGCAGTATAAATATCTTTTGGAAAAAATAAAATAACCAGGTGATTGGCCGACCAACTAAACACATGCATACAAAGAATTTCACCTCAATATTTGGAACAAGTTTTAAAATTTGATCCGCAACCCTGCAGCCATTAAGACTTCGAACAGTAGGCTCATCGACATCGTACAACAGAGATACATCAGAAATGTCCAGGTCCTGTTGCAAAAATTAAAATGTAAAAATAAATATATAAATAAATAAACTCAATAGAAATTAGGCAAGAAAGATGACATGATGACATGCAAAGATAAGGCTACGAAACAACCAAATTGAATTTCACAAATGCCTAACATCTCCGCGAAATTAAAATTTGCATACAAAAAAAACAAGCAGCTAAAACTTCTGATGAACAAGCATATATTCCTGCAAACACTGTAGGAAATAGGTAATGAGAACTGACTGACCAGGGTTCACAAGAATCACAACCAAAAGAGACAAGCTTCCTAGAAAACATAAATCACAGTGACGAAATAAAATTAAGATATTCCAGATTATATAAGTAGCTTTATATAGTCCAGATTATATAACTTCAACCTTAACCCCTTTTCCCTCCTCTTCCTGTTTCCTTTCTTTTCCTTCCCTCTTCATTTTTAGTTAATCAATTGTTTGAGGTGTTATTAGATCTTGAAAGATGACGGTGGCAGCATTGATGGTAAACTATTCTGGTTGTATCTCTGGACCTTAGTGATTTTGGATGTTGATCTGTTCTTTAACAATCATATTATCTGCTTATTCCTTTAGATTGCAACCACATTTAGATTTTTTTTTGTAATTGAACTTAAAATAGTCTGCATTATCTTATTCAACAAACTACATAAGGATGAGATCCCAGCTGTGGCCAACCCCACATGAATTATCAAACAAATAACAGGAAGCTAAACATAGACAGAGGAGAGCGATCAACATCCCATCCAGATAAAATAGGACAAAAAGGTTAGGAAAAAGTTTCACTTTCATACTACTTGCATGATATTTTGGTTTTTGTCAAGAAAGTTTGGTCAACAAGAGGGGGGAGTTCAGTACTTACTTCTGGTACAACCAAGAGAGAAATACTTGCATAAAGAAGGTCGATTGATATTCCATCAAACTTGAACTTCATTACAGGAACGTGAGCATCTGGAACTGGTTGCAGTTCGGTCACCTCTTCCATCTCAGCCAAAATGTTGTGCAATATAAAGAAGAAGTCTTCCTGAAGACAACATACAAGTATTAAATAGATACAAATGATTGTAAGACTCTGAACTCGACAAGAAAGCGTGTGCAGTCGATATTTACCTCTCGATTGACATAGGATGGCCCAACACATAATGTGTCTATGTCAGCCCCAGGACCATGCACCTAAGGAAAAAGTAACGGCAAACTAACTGTCTATATAGAAGAGCAACCAACACATGTATATTTGAAAAAAAAACAAAAACAAACCAATCAAATTGGCAAAGGAAAATAACAAATTACTAAACATTCACTGAAGCTATGACTTGAGACACATTGAAACTAAATGGCGTGTACCATTGCTTCTAAGAAATGCATTTACCTCTCTCTCAAACCAATTCAGACCACAAAAAAATAATAATAATAAATAAATAATTGGCAAGCACAATCAAGAGTAAGGATACTTACCCCAAGCCTATAGGAGCCAAATGTAAAAATAAGAGCGTTGGCATCCTCAACCATTTGATCTGTGTATCCTCTCAAGCGAGTAAGTTGCTTCACCCAATCCTTAACAATCTAACCACCAGAAGATAGGATAAGAAAGTTGAAGATATGGAAATCAGCAAAGGAGCTAAAACAAAATTCAGGATTTTCACTTATGTAAACAATTCTCTACATTTAGCAAAAATAAAAAGCCATATATAAATAGAATCATAATCATTCTCCTAAAAATAACAAAAATGTAATGTTAACAGCAGTTAACATACACTTCAAGCCCATATCTCATAGATGTGAGACACCTAAACAAGCTCCAGGAAAAACAACTTTAGTCATGCACATACCAAATACAAAAGCATGACCTTTATTCCAAAGACAGGATCAGCTTGTTTTCTGTAACAAAAATAGCTGCATCTCCCAGACTACATTCTGTTCATGCATCACGAGTAGGCTTTTCTTACTTATTAGTTGCATGTTTTCTAAAGGAATTGTAATGTCCACTGGATACTCCTGTTTCTGTAACACTGTGTCTGCAACTTTTACTCTTTTGACTTCATATACTAATATTATATCATGCCCACGGGGTTCCCTCTAAATAGACTGTAGAATATTTTTCAGCTATTAAAATAAGAAAACCTTCAACAACAACAAAAGAAACCTATTTCATATTCTAAGTAAGCCACTGACTCCTGCACTTTCTGAATTTTTACTTCCCTTCCAATTGAAATATAAATCCCTAGTCTTATAGTTACCATTTAATCCAGAATCCAATCAAACCCATAATTTAGGCAAGTCCAAAAAAAACTATCAAGGACTTCAACTAACTTGATGGCAGAACTATCAAAGACTCCATTTCACATAATGGCAAAACAAATTATTACACAAAGGTAATCTTATGACACATCCAAACCCATTGGACCCAAAGACCCTACTAGACATATTTGTATTTGCTAATGGCACTTAATCTACACAATCAATCATATTGAAAAAATTAATACGAACAAACGTTTAATATTAATAAAAATCAATAACACCAATAGTTAGAACAAACAAAAGTTGACAATCAACCTAGAGAGGCTTGAAAATTCTCCAATAACATAGTTGCACAACGAAATAATTAGCCAGCTAATCTTTACTGATAAATAATTACTAACCTAAACCATAAATTCCTAATCATTCTATTGCCTTAATAATAGGTGATCAATACTATAGCACACATAAAACTACCACCTCTAGTACTAAAACTAAAACTAAAACTGGCTTTTGAGTATGATAAGTCTCACTAGCATATAATTTGTGTACACCAATCAACAATTACCTGCCCAATTCGGTGAAGAACCTCCTCTCTCTTGTCAGCGTCCTCTTTGCTCTCATAAAGCCCCGCATCAACCAAAAACTTCACATACACATAAACCCAGAAACAAAATTTTATAACCAGAAGATCAAGAACAAAAACTCATCAATCTTTCCAAAGCAAAATTCAATAGCACAAACCTTCTCTAACTCTAAAGTCCTTTGAATATCGGCTTCTGTAGGCCCAGCTGTCGATATTGGCTTTGTCACCCCGTATTGCCTCGCTGCCGCTTGAGGAGGCGGCAGGGGAGCAATCAATCCCTCTGAACTCACCATCTCAGCATCCCCCGAAAAAAGAAAGTCTGAAGAAAAAAAAAAATTTCCTCCCAAACAAAGATTCGAAAACCCTAGAATTCCACTAAAAGATAACACGATCCGATATTGAAATTGTACAGAAATCGAAAACCAAAACCCTAGAATTTAAGGAAGTTAATAGTCGAAACCCTAATAACGGAAGGAAATAAAAAGCAAAGTACTTTCCCAATAAGGTCAAAATTACAAAACTAAATAGGAATCGGAAATCTGGGAATTCTGACAGACCTAACTGAACAAGGAAACCCTAAGGAGATTTCTAGAGAAAGAAACAAACCCTAAAAGCGTCGGAGAAGAGAGAATTGGGGGAGTCAATCAGGAGCGGCAGAGAGAGAGAGAGAGAGAAGAGAGAGAGAGAGGGGAAAGTATTGGCTGGCTGGCTGGCTGGCTGGCTGGCGGTCGGTTGGATTTTTCGGTGGGTTTTTATGTTTTGATATAAATATATTTATTTATTTTCGTTTTTATCTCTTTAGATTTTAATTGCTTTGCTGTTTGTGGGTTTTTAACGGCGTTACGGTGCGTTTCAATAAAAAAAAATGTTTAAAAAACGAAACGGTGGTTACGCGTTGAGAAAAAGAGAAAGAGTAATGCTATTTGGAAGCTGATTAGTAACGGTGGCTACTAGTAACGTCAACTACAAGGAAGCTGATTGTAACTTTAACGGACTCATGACACGTGGCGACGTAGGGATGTGCAAGCAGATCTGATTTTTCTTTTTTCTTTTTTTTTCCTTTTTTCTAATAGCAAGTTGCAAGTAGATCTGATTTTCTAACAGTCTCCCACCCACCCCAGGATCAAAAAATCTTTAATGATTGAATTTATAAAATGGTAGATATAGTTATTAACTCCCCGATACACATTTTTATTACCCAAAAAAAAAATTATTTCAAACTTTAATGTGTCACTAAAGAATTGCTCACGGTTCCTCATGTCCTTAATTTTCTATTACTATCACTTTTTTCGATTCTAATAACGCGGAGAAGGGTTTTTTAATCTATCTACCGACATGAAAAAAATAATACCTTATATTATTAGGGCTCGTTTGATTAGCGGAATGAGTTGTTTGGAAATATGACTATGAAGTTGACTTTTATTTCCATTCGAATATTTGGTAGGAAAAATGAATCACAAACATTGAATGCGGAGTAGAGGCAATAGGAGCCAGCCAAAGTTGGCAAACCAACATATCAACATCAGAAAAAGGAGAAAGCACAAAGTGCTCATGGAGAGACCAAAGAAACTGCACAGCCAGTTGTGACAACAAAGAAAACAACAAAGAAAAGAAGAAGGAAAGAGAAAATGGTTGGTCTCCTATATCCCATCACTTGAAAGATAATGCAAAATATCTAATAGAAATCACTTGCACCCAAAAAAAAGGTACCAAATTTGATTGCATGAAAAAAGATTTTTTTCAAAAAAGTATAAAGTTCATGTTAAAAAATTGTAAACTTTGTGTAATGGCTGCCCCATAAAGATTGTAATCTTTACAATGAAACATTTCTTGTTTTTTTCAAACCAAAAGATTGTATGATTTACACCATTCTACAGTAATTGTTGAGCCCAAAGCTCCACCAAAATAGAATCCTTCCTTTGGCTGACATTTGTTCTTTCTGAAGTTTCCATTACTACTAACTATTCATATAAGCATCCTTCTTCTTCTTCTTCAGGCTACTCTCACTAGAACCAGATGCACAAACTTCTCCATCATCACGAGACAACTTATCAGCCTGATGTTGCGCCCGTACGTCTAGACGGTCGAGGTGGTCTACAACCATCTGGAAACACATACGGAGGAAGTAGCCTTCTACGAACATGAGAAACATAAATTTCCATCCCCGGTTTCCAAAACATGTACATATTGACAGAATGCCTGAACTCATCAACAGTTCCTCGTATATCGAACTGCTGACCCTGAATCTTTTCCCCCTGCTTCTTCTGCAAACCCATAAAAAAGGCACTATGTGCGCATTGTTTGTTCGTATCGACATACTCACGGGGATAAGGATGGCATTGCAACATCCCTAAAGTATCCCTTTCAATCTGAAAATGTAAATGGAAGCACCAAAATGAGAGGACTATACATTTCTGTTTTTCAAAGAGGACAGAAAAAACAGATATAGTCATTAGTACCATTAGAGTTAGTTGGCTCAGGTGAGATTCGACCCAGCCTTTCCAAGCACGCAAGTCATCAACATCAGCAGCAACTATGTCAACCTGAAGATAGTTCTTGTAGCTTTCAAAGAACAAGTATGGTTCGAACAAAGCACACCACTCAGCTTTAAACAGCTCCACTTTCTGGATTTAAACAATGAAAAGGAGAAAGTGACCAATAATTGTCAACTATGGAAAACAAGCTAAAGCACACACTCTTCTTCTTACCTCTCGACTACAAGACAGAACAGGTACATACCTCACAGATGTTGTTGCTATATTGAAACTGCTCCACCATAACACGCAGGGTACTTTGTGACACATTGTAGCTGGAGTTCATACAAGGGTAGGCGGGGGTTATAATTGGCATGTGATGAGTCCGGTCATGAGGATTTTTACGCGGGTCCCAGACAGAAAAACCAAGTTCATCCTCCTCAATGGCACATAACATGACAGGATTTGGCCAACGCCACTGTGTATATACTCTAAAAAATCTAGAAACCAGCATGCTGGGAACTGCATTGGGATAAAGCTGGCACACCCGGGCAACAAGAATAGCCCAGTCCACTCCACCAAGAAATCCAATAACCTGAATATAAAACATGACCAACCAAGCATGGAATCAGTTTAGATGTAAAATAAGTCAAAACAAATTGTAGAGTGAGGTGGTACTCACATTGGAATAAACACCGCGCCTTTTCGCCCAAAACTTCAAGCATCTCAAAGTTGTACAGAAATGCTACAACAAAAAATTTCGATAAGAGAGGTTTGATATATGGCAGTATATATAGGTGTTTGAAAAAATAAAAATAAAAAAGGCGACTGCCAGACCAACAAAACACGCGCATAGGAAGCATTTCACCTCAACATTTGGAACAAGTTTAAGAATTTGATCTGCAGCCCTGCAGCAATTAAGACTTCGAATAGTATGCTCATCAACATCAAACAACAGAGATGCATCAGAAATGTCCAGGTCCTGTTTTAGAAAATAAAATGCTCTAAAGCAATAAAGCAAAAGATATAGAGAAGAAGATATAGGACAAATGCAAAGATGGGATACAAAAAGGATGCAAATTAATATGAAAAGTTATGGTAGTAGACTTCTATTCTAGTAGTAGACTTAAGATCATTATATTTACATGTGACCTCTATTCTAGTAGTAGACTTAATTAATCTTATTAATCAATTTAATTTAAGTTGATTACTTCAGTGATTATATTATATGCCTATTGATTTTATCAAACAAATAACAGAAAGCGAAACATAGAGAGAGGAGAGAGAGATTCCTTAAAACATCTCATCCATATGAAATAACATGATATTTGGTTTTTTTTAAAGAAAGTTTGGTCAACAAGAGAGGGGAGTTCAGTACTCACTTCTGGTACAACCAAGAGAGAAATGCTTGCATAAAGGAGGTCGATCGGTACTCCATCAAACTTAAATTTCATCACAGGAATATGAGCATCTGGAAGTGGTTGCAGTTCGGTCACCTCTTCCATCTCAGCCAGAATGTTTTGCAATATAAAGAAGAAGTCTTCCTGAATATAACACCACAGTGTTGTACAGATAAAACAGTGAACAATTGCAAGACTTAGAACTCTGAGAAACCACTTGCAGTCAATATTTACCTCTTGATTGACATAGGATGGCCCGACACATAACATTTCTATTTCATCCCCAGGATCATGTACCTACAGAAGGCAAACCACACAAGTATACTTCAAAAAACAATAACAAATCAAAGCATATTACTAAAAAAATCAATGAAGCTAGGACTAAAAGCATATTGAAACTAAATAGTTTGTAACATTGCATTTAAGACATCCATTTCTCAATCTCTCTCTCTCTCTCTCCCTCTCTCTCTCTCTCTCTCTCTCCCTCTCTCTCTCTCTCTCTCTCTCTCTCCCTCTCAAACCAACTGAGACCACAAACAGAAATTTTGCAAGAACAATCAAGAGCAAGGATACTTACCCCAAGCCTATAGGAGCCAAATGTAAAAATTAGAGCATTAGCATCCTCAACCATTTGCTCTGTGTATCTTCTCGAGCGAGTAAGTTGCTTCACCCAATCCTTAACAATCTAACAATCAGAAGATAGGGTATAAAAGTTGAAACTACAAATCAGAAAATGGAGATGGAATAAATTACAAAAAATTTATAATTATGAAGTGAAAAACAAGAATGTAATGCTAATGGCAGTTAACATATATAGCTCCAGAAAAGCAACTTTAGCACATAATTTGTTTTAAATGAGCAATAATCACCTGCTCAATTCGCTGAAGAACTTCCTCTCCCTTGGTAGCTTCCTCTTTGCTCTCATATACCCCAGCTTCTTCAACCAAAAACTTCATTTTCATAACCATAAGATTATGAAAACCCAGAAACAATATTTTCATAACCATAAGATTAAGAACCAAAATAAATCAAGCTTTGCAAAACAAAACTCGGTAAGCACAAACCTTCTCCAACTCTATATTCATTTGAATATCGGCTTCTTTCTTCTCAAAACTATTTCTTGGCATCTTGGATTGGACAACTTAAAAAGCAGCCTTCAGTTTAGTGACTAGACAACTTTTAGAAGGGTGCTTTTGACTTGGTTGTTGTTGACTAGTTCTGCATATTGATCGGAGAGCTTAAAAAGTAGCCTTGCTGTTTCTTGATGTGAGTAAATAACATAAAGTTTCAACCTATTTTGTACACTTTAGAATCCAATTAGTCTTTAATTTTGCATATAAGCTTGTATACATGGTAAAATTTTACTTTAGTTTATTGTCCCATGACAGAACTTCATATAAATTAGTTCATTAATTATTAGATTCTATTTCCTCCTCATATGGTGAAATTTTCTCTTCTGCTGTGGCCTGAGGCATAGCTCTAGAATCATTGCCCTCATTAGCCGTTCCACTGTAAAGTAATGCTCCATCTGAATTGCTTATTTATTTATTTATTTATTTATGTATTTGGATTCTTATCCTAAGGAGTTTCAAAGCCTCTTTTGTACTTTTGAAATTATGCAGATTTGCAAATTGGGTTACTTTTGAAGAGAGAAGAATAGAGGCATTACAATAAATTATGTTCTTATAAGTGAAAAACAGTAAATTTGATCAATTTTAGTGAACCAAAAGTACACCTTAGAGCACTAGCTTTGGGGGAAAAAGTCTTGTTATTCGTGCATGTCCACCTCAATGTGGGGCTTAGAACAAGCCATTAGAAAACAGTTTTGGAAGGACACAAATGAATTGGCCTCTTATTAGTACATTGCAGAGATATTATTCCAGTTTTATGTAGCATATATCAAAATAAAAGCAGCAGTGATAGGATCATCAACAAAGATAATACTAACATGAATCATCTATGTGACTTCTGCAATACATTGCTGTCTTGCACGCAGTTCCGTTGACAAAGATTTATATGAAAAGTCACAAGATTTAGTAGAAGCATAAATCCATATGAAAAGTCAAAGATTTATAAACACTATTAAAAAAATCAAACTGAAAATTAACTATAAAGTAATGCTACAAGTATTAGGGTGTACTATGGGTATTTTTGGTAGTTCTATAGGGTGTACTTAGTTAATTTTACATTTTGATTAAAATATTAGGGTGTACTTAGATTATAGGGTGTACTCAGTTAATTTTAGGGTTCGTTTAGCAGCACTCAGATGCATCAGAAATGTCCAGGTCCTGTTTTAGAAAATAAAATGCTCTAAAGCAATAAAGCAAAAGATATAGAGAAGAAGATATAGGACAAATGCAAAGATGGGATACAAAAAGGATGCAAATTAATATGAAAAGTTATGGTAGTAGACTTCTATTCTAGTAGTAGACTTAAGATCATTATATTTACATGTGACCTCTATTCTAGTAGTAGACTTAATTAATCTTATTAATCAATTTAATTTAAGTTGATTACTTCAGTGATTATATTATATGCCTATTGATTTTATCAAACAAATAACAGAAAGCGAAACATAGAGAGAGGAGAGAGAGATTCCTTAAAACATCTCATCCATATGAAATAACATGATATTTGGTTTTTTTTAAAGAAAGTTTGGTCAACAAGAGAGGGGAGTTCAGTACTCACTTCTGGTACAACCAAGAGAGAAATGCTTGCATAAAGGAGGTCGATCGGTACTCCATCAAACTTAAATTTCATCACAGGAATATGAGCATCTGGAAGTGGTTGCAGTTCGGTCACCTCTTCCATCTCAGCCAGAATGTTTTGCAATATAAAGAAGAAGTCTTCCTGAATATAACACCACAGTGTTGTACAGATAAAACAGTGAACAATTGCAAGACTTAGAACTCTGAGAAACCACTTGCAGTCAATATTTACCTCTTGATTGACATAGGATGGCCCGACACATAACATTTCTATTTCATCCCCAGGATCATGTACCTACAGAAGGCAAACCACACAAGTATACTTCAAAAAACAATAACAAATCAAAGCATATTACTAAAAAAATCAATGAAGCTAGGACTAAAAGCATATTGAAACTAAATAGTTTGTAACATTGCATTTAAGACATCCATTTCTCAATCTCTCTCTCTCTCTCTCCCTCTCTCTCTCTCTCTCTCTCTCCCTCTCAAACCAACTGAGACCACAAACAGAAATTTTGCAAGAACAATCAAGAGCAAGGATACTTACCCCAAGCCTATAGGAGCCAAATGTAAAAATTAGAGCATTAGCATCCTCAACCATTTGCTCTGTGTATCTTCTCGAGCGAGTAAGTTGCTTCACCCAATCCTTAACAATCTAACAATCAGAAGATAGGGTATAAAAGTTGAAACTACAAATCAGAAAATGGAGATGGAATAAATTACAAAAAATTTATAATTATGAAGTGAAAAACAAGAATGTAATGCTAATGGCAGTTAACATATATAGCTCCAGAAAAGCAACTTTAGCACATAATTTGTTTTAAATGAGCAATAATCACCTGCTCAATTCGCTGAAGAACTTCCTCTCCCTTGGTAGCTTCCTCTTTGCTCTCATATACCCCAGCTTCTTCAACCAAAAACTTCATTTTCATAACCATAAGATTATGAAAACCCAGAAACAATATTTTCATAACCATAAGATTAAGAACCAAAATAAATCAAGCTTTGCAAAACAAAACTCGGTAAGCACAAACCTTCTCCAACTCTATATTCATTTGAATATCGGCTTCGGTGGGACCCGCTGTCGATATTGGCCGTGTCACTCCGTACTCCCTCGCCGCCGCTTGAGGAGGAGGCGGAGGCGGAATAATCAATGTCGCTGAACTCTCCATCTCAGCTTCCTCCAACAAAATTGTCAACTGCGAGGAATAACGTCAACTACAAGGAAGCTTTTGTAACTTCAACGGATCATTTTTTAGGTTTGACTTCGGGCTTGACGTTTTACTTTCATCTCTTTTTGTTTTTTCCAGGTGTAAGTTTCCAGTTTTATTCTTAAAAGTTGAAATAAAAGTTGGCAAATTGTTGAAATAAAAGTTGTTGTTGTTGCCTCTAGTTGGCAAATTGTTGGCTCCCAACAGAGTTGCCTTTTGATTTGTATCATCACTTTGGGGAAGGTTTTTCTTATAAAAATTCTAAGAGTCGCCAACAGTGGCGGACTGGCATAGTGTAAGTGGCGCCACTACACAGGGCCTGATTTTTGAGAGCCTCGAATTTTTTTTACTTTATATTATATATATTAATATTATAAAAACCGTATATACACTCCAACGTGCAATATAGTGAAACAAAAGTATATTTGGTGGAGCTTATTTCAAGCGCATATCCCTTGGTACAAGGCCCAAGTTTGAGTCTCAATGATGTCATTCTATTTGTATTTGTATTCCTTTTTCATTATAACAACAAAATTTAAAATAGTTTTTGAATTTGATTTGTGATTGTTATTACATGCTAATTGATGATGAATTTTAGTTATCAAAAAATTGTTTTATGATATTAAGTCATGGAATTTTTTTTTTATTATAGTATTTTCATATTAGATTATGTGAGGGCTCTCGTTTAAGTTTCGCAGAGGGCCCTCAAAATCTCAGTACCGGCCCTGGTCGCCAAAGATGTGGTATCAAATAACTCATGCATATATGGAGGATACAATGGTGGATTCAAGAAATTTTTTAAGGAATGGGCTAAAAAAAAAAATTCAAAGATCTTTTATAACTGGAATTTTTAGGCTAATTAATATTTTATGGTAGGATTATATATATATTTTTTAATAGAAAATATGGTAGGATTTCAGTGGGTAGAAGAAAATAAAATTTGATTTGGGTGACTAGGATAAACTGAATTCTAAAAGATAAGTGGGCTAATATTTAATTGTAGTGGATTTTGTTGTACAATAAAGACTAAAGTACAAAACCAGCACTGGGCTAAAGCCCAATTGAGTCCCTTCGTAGGTTCGCCCTTGGTATAACATATTTGTACGGACATCACAACCACATTATATATTACCGACTGAGTTTGTATTTCAGAATTCATGTAGGCTAGTAACACCATACAACGAAGTGACAGTCACACCTAAGAATTTCTTGTAAATAAGTACAATTATCTCTTTATAATGAGAGAAACTACACTCATCCATATCATTATCAATTTATAGCGCAAGGAGGTTATAACTCAAATGATTAAGAGTATTTACCTATGCATCATAGGTCCTAAGTTTGATTTCCCCTCCCTCAATATCTTTGTATAAAAAATAAAAATAACTTTTGGCTTCTGCTAAAAGGAATCACAAACACTAAAATGAGTAGGAGGAGGCAATGTGAGCCACTTGGAATCTTGTTTTCTCAACTATGCATATTAGAATTACCCAAAAAAGAATACTTTATGGAGATGAAATAACTTGGGCTTTCCCACAAAAGCCGAAAAAGAAGAAGACCATTTGGGCTTGATCAAAGAAAAGGGAGAACAACTTGGGTTTGACTGATTTGCCATGCAAGTTTAGGCCTGTTTCGTGAGTTTTGCGAGTTGTGAGCAAACCAAATCATGGTCCAAAGCTGACAAGTAGCTACTAGTTCGGTTTTGAATGAAGAAAGAGAAGGATTAACAGGTAGATCGGTCCCTTTCCATGAAAAATGAAAAATGTCCAGAACATTAATGGCAAACTTTGAATTAATGGCTGCCTAAGTAAGTACATAAACGCCCAACTCAAAGCATGCAAGGTCCCACTGTCCCATAAGGATTGTAATCTTTACAAACTAACAGTTCTTCAAAACATATTATCACTTTCAATTGTGTTTGCATCTTCTTCTTCTTCTTTTTTTCACGTAACTTGTTCATTATTACTCTCATACGTTATGCTTATGTGAATTTTCCTTTTTCACTTTCGGAACTTTTAAATGTGAATCTTATGTAGCAAGAGGGGATAGCTCTATTTTCCTTTGTTGTTATTCTAAATTCGAGAAAAATTTGTGTAAAATGAGGATAACACTGTTATGCTATCCCCAACCAAATATGCCAAATGAAAAAGTTATTACGCGTCACATATCGTAATTAACCAAAAATACAAAAACAGTATTATCCCCTTTTCACACAAGTGTTTCTCCCTAAACTCACCTCCTCGTCTCTAGGCTAAAAATGTACACACCACATGGTTAACTTAAACTCAAAAGCTCCACCAAAACAAAACAATCTTTTGGCTAAAAAAAGAAGTTTCCTAAAGTATACAAATTCTTTTCACTTCCTGGAAATTAATAATTACACGAAACCTAAGCAAAAAATATCAGTGAAAATTCCTACTAGGGGATTCCTAATATCCCCCTCTTATCTCTTAACTCGCTCAAATTGATGAAATTGATTTCTTTTAATGTCAAAATGTTCCAACTTTCCATGTTCACAAAGTTATTGTGTAACGTTATGCATTTACTTGTGACTGGATTTTAGCCAAAACATTGAAGAAAGAATATATAAGATCCGTACTATCCATCGTCATGTGACAAAAATCAATAGAAACTGTTTTCGACCAAATAAAAAATAAAAAATAAATAGAAACTGTGACAACAGGAAAAGGATCTGCATATTCAAAAATAAATAAATTTGAAGGAAATCAAAAAACCATTTTCATTTTCAAATCACCTGCTCCTAAAAGTAAACGATGCCACACAGAGTTAATGGCAGATTGCCATTTTTATCTAACTTTGGTATATCCCAAATATCAGGAAAAATTCAAAACCCAACATTTATGGAATTCAAATCCCAAGATTACCCCCTCCCCTTCTCTCTCTACCTCTCTCTCTCTCTCTCTCTCTCTCTCTCTTCTTAATAAGCAGCGTCTGCATCCCCCCAATGGATTCAGATCTGCTTGATCAGCTCTCGTTTGGGAAAGACCCATTGTCAACCAAGGCTCTGTTTCAAAGATTTTGATGCAGAAAGAATGGCAGAGACTGAGTTAAGAATCATGGAGAAGAGGGAATCACTGTGAAAAAGATACGGAAACTGATCAAACATCTTCTCTCCAACCCAAGATAGAAAGCAAAGTCTCAGCCTTTTTCGGCTCTCTCACTCATACAACTCTTTTTAGGGACAAAGGAGAAGATATAAAAAGCTGTCCTTTTTAGTGGGTAAATGGGCTTTTAAAGCCTGCTCTGTTTTTCCAGCTCCTATAGTACACAGTCTGAGTCTACTTCAACATATAACAGACAGAGAAAGAGAGAGAGATATCAGAGAAATTTATGGCTTTAATTATAAGTTACGAAGGGTAGAGGGTTGCAGAAGCAGAAGATAGCAGAAAAGGGTATTCTTTTTCTTTTTTTCTTTCTTTTAAGAGAGAGAGAGAGAGAGGGAGGAAGATGCATAATACTCAAAAGGGTTTTTGAAAGAGAAGCTTTTGAAAAAGAAAAAGAAAATCGGAAAATATTCACGGGATTGTCAGTGGGTAATTGGGTGTCTTTCATTTTGAGTACACGTTGCTCCAGAAAGTTGAGATTTTTAGCGAGAGAGAGAGAGAGTAGAAATAGATAGAGAGTGAAGCGGTGGTGGTGGTGCCTTTTGTTGTTGTAGTTTTGCCAAGTCTAGTCAGAAGACAAAGTGGGAGTAAATTCGGCGCTTTTTTTGAATTTAAGATTTTAAGGAGGCGCTGTGAAGTGAAGTAGTGGGGGCATCTGGGTAAGTCTCCCTTTTCTGTGAAAATGTTTACATTAAGCTTCTGCACTTTTCATGCTTTGCTTTGTCTGTAATTCTTGTTTGTTTACTTGGGGTGAGTTTTTGAAGCTTTGGTTGGTTATATTATAATGGATTTGAACCTCTGCATCTTTCTGTGACACTTTTTGTCTTGTAATGCAGTTCTTCACGAGGTGCTGTCAGAATTTCACCAAAGAAAATAAAAAACCAAGTTTTATCCTGATTTATATTTTAAGGTTTTGATGCTTTTTTGTTTGTTAATCTTTTGCTCCACACTTCTTTGCTTGCAACCTGTAAAGATTCTGAGAGATCTTGCAGAGACCCTTTATGCTCTATTTTAGCTAGCTCCACCTTAGGTTTTGTTCCCTTTTGGATTGAGTCTTTTTCAAAAACATTTCTATTTATTTCTTTCTTTCTTTCTCTAGTGCCTCTTGGAAATGCCTTTCTCCTAGTTTCTCACTCCGAAATCTAGCGAGTAAAAATGGGGATAGCTTACTAGGTTGTGGTGCTCACTTCACTTTGCTCTTTAACTCACTTCATAAACATTCTCTTTATCTTTTTAGGACTTTCTCCACTTGTTTCTCTCTCCCTTTTTCTCTCACTCCACATTTGGTGCTTTGTTGGTGTTTGTTTCTTCATAAACTCCAGCTGGGTCTTTTGAGTTTTGACTTACCCTTTACTTAACCTTTGCCTCCTTTTAACTTTCTCTCTCCAGCTTGTATCTTCAGATTCTAGAGAGAGAGAAAGAGCACAAATATGGGGAGAGCTACAAGATGGTTGAAGGGCTTGTTGGGGATGAAGAAAGAGAAAGACCATGTTGACAATAAAAGCACTACGTCTGGTGATCGGAGGGAGAAGAAACGGTGGAGTTTTGCCAAGTCGGGGAAAGACACGGGTAGTACAATTGGTCATGTTCCAAACAATCATCCACCAAATGTTCCTGTCCCCGACTCTGCTTGGCTCAGATCCTATCTTGCTGAGTCAGACAAGGAGCAGAACAAGCACGCAATTGCGGTGGCTGCTGCCACTGCAGCCGCTGCTGATGCCGCAGTGGCCGCAGCTCAGGCGGCCGTGGCGGTTGTGAGGCTGACAAGTCAAGGCGGTGGACTCATGTTTGGAAAAAAAGAGAGATGGGCTGCAATGAAGATTCAAACTGTTTTCAGAGGCTATCTGGTAAGTGGGTTCTCAGTTTTTAATCCAGTCCTTACCTTAAATTGATTATTGGTATGTTTGGTTTTGCTTAGAGAATGTTGCATTGAAACTCTGCTTGATATGGTTGCGTGAAATGTTAGTAAATTTTGACTACGCTTTGGTTGGCTTTATGGAAGTTGTTTTCTTAGTTCTTACTTTTATGTCTGCTCGCAAAAAGATGTGAAATTGTTTCCAAATCCTAATGGAACAGTAGAATACAAACATTTGTCGACTATTGCTTCCAAATCCTATGAAACAGTAAAAACAATTGTTTTCTTGGTCAATCAAACGGCTGAGAATTGTTCTTCCCTCCCCTGTTTCTGACCGGGCTACTCATTCTGTGAGCCCCCATGCCCGAATGTTATGTGTTTGAAATTTGAAATCTTGTTTCTTGGAACAGGGTCATGATTGTACTGTATGCCCCCATTTGTGTTATGATTTCGGTTTTCTTGCTTTTTTTTAGTAATGATTTATTTTCTAAAGTTGGCATTGGTTTTTCACCTTATCTTCATTTGCACTACTTGGGCTGCTACATTTATGACTAGTTTTATTATGAACTTGCAAAACCTACCAACTTCCTCTGGTATTTGCATTGTTCTGTTGAATCTAAAATTGGTTTTGCCTTCAGGCACGAAAGGCGCACCGAGCTCTTAGAGGACTGGTTAAGTTACAGGCTCTTGTTAGAGGCTATCTTGTTCGGAAACGGGCTGCTGCTACTCTTCACAGTATGCAAGCTCTTTTTAGAGCACAGACAACTGTCCGATTCCAGCGAGCACGTCGTTCTTTCAATAAAGAGAACAGGTTCCTACCTGAAATCAAAGCCCGAAAGTCCGTTGTAAGTGCTAATTTCACCAACCTCTAATATTGGATCACATTTTACATTTGACTTCTTTCTTACACTAAAATGTGTTTATAGCAGGAAAGATTTGACGACGCAAGAAGTGAATTTTATAGCAGGAGGCTATCTGCAACTTATGAAACTTCCATTAATGGCTTTGATGAAAGCCCGAAAATTGTGGAAATTGACACATTCAAAACCAGATCCAGGTCTCGTAGATTCAACACCATACTATCTGAATGTAGTGAAGACCTGCCTTACCAAACAATCTCATCACCACTTCCCTGTCCATTTCCAACCCGTATTTCTATACCTGATAGACAGCAGCCTCAAGATTTTGAATGGTGCTTTAATGGCGACGAATGCAAGTTCTCTACTGCACACAACACTCCGCGGTTCACAAACTCTTTTCGATCCAATGCTCCCAGTACACCAGCCAAGAGTGTTTGTGGAGACAGCTTCTTTCGGCCTTACTCAAACTTCCCAAACTACATGTCAAGCACTCAGTCATTCAACGCAAAGTCAAGGTCCCACAGTGCCCCTAAGCAAAGGCCGGAACCAGGGCCGAAGAAGAGGCTTTCGCTTATTGAAATGATGGCAGCAAGAAACAGCATAAGCGGCATTCGAATGCATCGATCATGTAATCAAGTCCGAGAAGAAGAAGAGGAAGAAGTCTTGAATTATTGAGCAAGCTGCAATGAGAAGGGTCCTCTGTCTTTGGTTAAAATCAGGGAGGGCTTTTGCATAGAAGATGGTAAAAAAAACAGATTGGAGAGAGGAAGAACCTCTCTATGCCTTATTTTCCCCACTTTAGTATTAAAAATGAATAGGGTAGAACACAGAGTGCTTGTGTAAATTCTTTGTTTTTTCTTTCCATTTACCTTTTTCTCAACAGTTTCTTTCAAATTGTGTCTTATGATCTATATGAGTCAATGAGATGAAAGGAGCTTCAACATCTTAATTTTCTGAGAATCACAATTCTGGTCTTGGCAAACAATAATTCAAAAATGGCACCAAATGGCAAAAGGCTTCCACTATTTGGCCTTTGCCAAAAACATACCTGAAAAGCTAACGAGATCTAACCCAATAAAAAATGGCCGTAATTTGTAGAGGCCTCATGTAATGGACAAAAAGGAATTTACTATGATTACGAAAGAGACTCAAAAATGCACAAGTCTCAAGTTGTTGGTTTGCCTAGGCACATAGCAGAAATAGACAAAAATATCTCATTTTCCATCCGTTGCTAAATTCATAATAGTTTGTGGATTTCAAGCAGGGATGAGAATAACTTCAGAACATTATTGAAGCAGGAGCCGCATTATGCAGGAATTTGAAATCTTTTTGAACCCTCTACTTTCCCACTAAAGAGCTGAGCTGCTTAGCTTCCGTGAAGCTTCTGCTTCTCTCTGTCCTAGGCTTGTAGCTAGCCTGATTTAATAAACTGGACGCTGCTCTGGTTCTTTTGCCTTGCATTTATATATTTAGGCAGTGATTGGGACATATTTTGATGAGCAATGTTTAAATTTGTCCTTTACAATGGAAAAATAATTATTTATTTTCCAAAAATGGCAGAGAAAGATAGTGGTGGGTTCAAAACTTCAAATCCCATCGATGCAAATGAGAATTAAGAAATTATCAAACTCAATCGTGAAGCTAGGAATTAACAATGAATGTGCATTATATAATCCAATGTTCATAAAATTCTCCCTTATTAAGATGAGAATTGTGTAATGTTGTGCTAAGAAGAGATCTTTTGTCTAACACCCCTCCTTTTTGCTCCATATATGTATGAGGATTGGGAAAAAGGGAGGGTAGGTAAGAATTGAATTTTTTCGCTCTGAATATGTACATGATACATGTTTTACCATTGAAGTTAGAAATCTCGATAGTCACAACGTCATATTGTGTTACATTATGTTTGTCATTATATAGTATACATGTAACAGGTGAGGTCCCTCTTATAAATTTTAGCCCTAGGAGTAGTTGCTTATAATTAGTTACAAAAATAAGTTGTATAGTTACACTGTTTTATGAACTCATAGAAGTGCAAGACCCTCCACAAGCACTCTTTCACGCCCTCAAACTGCATGTGGGCCATAAGGTAGAAAACTACACAGAGAAAGGGTGGGAGGGAAGGAAAGGCTAGGGTTTTTAATTTGTTTTGGAAAATAAAGAAATCAAGGAAAGGCTATGGTATGTAGACCAGACCCCATGCACGGATTTTAAATTTCTTATCAGCAATGATTAGGGCTTTGATCTGATTGATGGGTTTGTGGGTTTGGTTTCTTTGGAACTGGTGATGACTTGTTCCAAGTCTTCCCTTGTGTTGATTGCTTGCATCAGCTATGATATGATATGATGATATATGGCCCACCAAACTCGAAGCTCAAACTGGTAAAAAGTTTTTAAAAAAAAACATGATTATAAAGGGCAATTTGGGTACTTGAGCCGGTCTTTGACTGAATCCCTTATCCTTTTCTCTTCCTTGCTTAAAAGCCATACATCATCATCATCATCATCATCATCATCGTCTTCATCTTCTTCTTCTGGATGGAGTCATTGCGTTTGAACACTTCGTGCAGCGTGCCGGTAAGGTTCTCTGAGGTTTGTCCTTCACACCAATAATCATGATTCCACGGCGGATATATTATTATATGATGCATTTGTTTCATTGACATTTGATTTGATATTAATTTGTGACAAACTAGGCCTAGGGTTGTCCAGCCTCATTATGATATTTGTGTGGTTTTTGAAGACTTAATGTTGGAAGGTAATGGATTGGTCTTCGATGTTTGGTTCGTATATGTGCTATTCTTATTTTTAAAGAATGAAACCAACATTTTTAAAACAAACAAGATATTGAACTTAGAACTCTATACTCAAACTCGTTTAAATCTATACTTAAGACATTAAATTGTGTGGATATAAGACCCACAACCTCAAACATGGATTCTTGACTGGAAGCTTCGATCCTTGACTAAGACCTTGTACATACATTGGAACTGACACTTAGCACTTGAACATCCAAAATTAGGTTTTAAACCTGGACTTCGAACCCTAGCCTCTAAATCGAAATCTTGTGCTCAAATTTTGACTTAGAACTCGATTTATCCGTCAAATAGTAAAATCAATTTTGTTTTCCTCTTTTGTCTATGAAATGGTTTTATTGCATTTTTCATTTTTGTTTCTTTAATTTAGTGTATAGATAAATATAAACCAGAACAACAAGGGGTCATGAAGTCCAATTTCAGCATATTTATAGGGAAGTCAACTTCACGCCGGATTCTGTGGCTAGTTTAGGTCATGCTCTCAACCCTTCTCGCTTGTGGAAGAATGGAGTTTCTCTGTCTGTTGCAAACTCCTTTTATTTTGATCTTCTCGGGCCTCCGTGCCCGAGAGGGTTTCTCTTGTAATTTCCTTTTCCTTATTGAAAAATAAAAAACCGAGGGGTCATGAACAGTAATTCAAAGTATGGAATATTCTTAAAATATTATATTAAGATTTAATGATAAAGTATAATCGAAGTTTAAAATTTTTAGAGACAAGTTTTTTCATATAAATAAGGAACAAGAAAATTGCACTTTTTATTTAAACACATTCGAATTAGAGTGCGCACGTATTAAAGCTTTGGTTGAGTTTCAGAACCAAATAAAGTAAATTCTTTTCCGACCAAAAAAAGAGAAGAAAAAAGAAGAGCTATAAAGTGTGTAAAGGCTTCTATATATATATAAAGGGTGTCTCAAAGGCATCAATTTTTGGCATCCGATCTTTCTAAGTGTTCTCCTTGTTTCTTTTGATAAAGCAAAATAAGATTCTTAATCTCCCAAAAAGTTACTGCAAATCTTTAGTAAAGCTACAATATTTATACACGTACCTTAAAAGCTTCTTTTTGCATGAAATGTTACGTGAAAAGTTAAATTGAACAATCAAATATCTTTCTTAATGCTTGAGAATAAAATTATCTTTCTTGTTATAGAAAATGTCATTTCTGAAATAATTCAGCCATGAACCTTTTTCTCCAAGAAAACTTTGACGATAAACTTTGATTAAAATGAGATTGATATTTTAAATATATGAATCCTAGTTGGTAAATTACGGAACGAAAAAAGTACGAATAAAAAATATGGACAAACGGGTTAAATTATAGGTTAAACTCTCGACCACATGCATCATTGCATTAACTGATCAAAATTAAGTTAACGTGGGAGAATTAATGCTGTATTCACTCGTTGCTCCAACTTTAAACTGCATTCATAATTATGCCAAACTGAATGATTATATTTACATTCATAATGCTGTCGAGGTATTAGAAAAAAAAAAACAGAATGATTCTAGAGATTAAATTTTAGAAGACCTCATATTAGAATAGACGTGTTGGAAGAATAACCACTCATACAAGAATAGGCGTGTTGAAAGTACCTCATATCATCAGAAATGAAAGAACTTAAATGATATTGACTTCTCCACCATATGGCCGATTAATTTTGAGTTAAATGTCCATATTTTAAAACTCTCCACATGCAGATGTCAAGTTTGATAAAACAAACATTTCTCAATTAACTAACAAACTACTAAACAATATTTGAACAGAAAAAAGAGACGTTGAGAACTCTAAGACAAGATTAATTAAAGTATTCGTGCCCTTCATAAACCAGTATGCCTCATCTGATTCAAACACTGACAAACACAATTCTTTATACGATTTGTTTGAAGAAAAAAAGCACTTGCTACGAGAATAGGAAGGTCGAATATGTTTGGTTGAGCGGCTATGTGCTTTCGTCATCTCATCTCATTGTGCTTTTGAACTAATTATAAAAAAAGTCATAAGATTTCAAAACACATTAAGATAATCATATTCCTAACTCCAGAGGGTTCTTGTTTTTATCAATCCCTTAAATCTGATTAATTAATGCTAATGTTGGTTTGAAAACTTTGAAGCTTAGTCAAAAGTTGCATTAATCGTACTGTAGAGATTTTGCTATTGGTTTATGTGCTTTGTTTCTAAGCACTATTTCAAAATCAAAGGCTGGCAATTTGGCATCACCTCAACCCTAATCGTCCTTTTGTCGGTACATTAGGGTTTTTTTTATTTTTTATTTACTTGGATAAGGTTTTGGGTTCTCAATGCCTTGTACCTATTAATTTACATCTTAAATATGAGCTTTGAAAAGGTTTGGATTTGAAAGGTAAATTTGCATAGACCCAAAGGAGAAACATAGATTTCCAACGAGTTCATCTTTATGACTAATGTACTGGTTTGAATTTTAATTCCAACCATTTAATACATTCTAATATAATGGTTAAAAACTTGTCCCGTAATTTGTGTAAAAAATACGATGCTATTGATCCGCCCATTTACATGAATACCCCTGTTTTAAATTGTTTTCGCAGAATCCCTTTTCGTTGATTATTCGTCCAAAGCTTGATGATTTTATTTATAAAAAAAGTTTGCAAATGACAAAATCAACCTCAATGAATGTATATGCAATATGATCTCAAAGGTTAATTTTTTATATATATAAAATCATCAATCTTTGACGAAAAATCACCGAAAATGGATTTTGTGAAATCAATTTAAAACCTCAAAGTTGTTCGTGTAATTTTTGAAACCTCAGGGAATTTTGAGAAAAAACAAAAAACCTGAGGGGATGTTAGCGTAAATAACTCAATGAAATAACTCAAAAAATTTCCTAACAATCATCTTACGGAAAATGTGAATATATGTTTTGAATGAGAGCATGGATTTGCACGGACTTGCTTTTACGTTTTAGAATAATGGGGCCAAGGGCCTAAAGTAAAACAAATCTACATGACTGTTTCTGGGCCTAACTAAAATCTTCCAACAAAAGATGGATGATTTAAGGAAAGCCCACCAGCTATAAAGCTTACTATGGTAAGCCCATATGAGCAATAGAAAATTAAA